CCAATTCCTACAAAATTATCAAAGATCACAAAACCAAAACCTTTAAGCAAATGTGTCACTAAATTTTACAAAAAACATTCATTTAAACTATATTTTCCAGGGGAGAAACATGAAATAACCATATTGCTTTCTCAACTTTTAGGAGAATCAGAGTTAAGCCAAATAGGTATAAATTTAGAAGCATCTCAACTGTTTCTACTGAGTATTTGGTGTGCTTCCTCATTTTTAAATAAAATTCTTTTTGTTCAGCAAGTTGAAATGCTATTTAAAACATTGTCATGCATAATCACCCTGCAAGCTCTCAAAAGATTTAGTGGTAGTTTCAGAAATAAACCAAATTTATATATGCAAGGTAAGCCTAATTAGTTAAGCTCACAAAAAATGTAATACCCGATTTTCAGAACCCAATGTGCTCAAGCAAGTATTCGTGCTTCTAAATGAGAAGAACCGCTCTGTATTTAATTAGCCCTCATTTGAGGATGTCATCATTTTAATTTATTTGCACAAACACAGGACATTGTGCTCCATCAGCAGATAATGTTCTTCATTAACTCAAGTAGGAACTTTGTGCACAAGGGTGGAAGGAATATTCTCATCTGTGATGCAAAGGGCAGAACTGCACCCCACCAGATTTATTCTTCAGCTGTCATGGTCACCGTTTTGAGATACATTCATTAATAATAGAAAATACTTCTGGCTAAGTATTCTGCCAATCCCTAGAAATCAATAGTATTTAATGTCTCATTTTTACCTATTGCCCAGTTATTAAATGGTCATTTAATTATTAATGAACACAGTAACTTACTGAAATTCAAGTAATAGGAATGTACCAAAATTCAAACTTCAGTAATTTGGACAGTGGCTCTAGAAGAAGAGTTAATTAAAAATCAATTATTTCTTTATTGGTGGTATAAAGAAATAACAGCCTAGATTGCAGAGAGTAGTAAGGGTAGGTTTTATTTAGGATGTTTGAAAGTAAGAACTATATGCTTAATAAGCTAACAGCAGATCACTTATCTATTCTTTTTTATTTTTTAATCCTCATCTGAGAATATTTTCCCTTTTATCTTCTGAGAGTGTGTGTGTGTAAGGGGGAAAGAAACATCGACGTGAAAGAGATACATCGAATGACTGCCTCCCACACGACCCGACCAGGGCCAGGGACCGAACCGCAACCGAGGTCTGTGCCCATGACCGGAATCGAATCCATGACTCTTTGGTCCACTCATCAATGCTCTAAACAATGAGCCAAACCAGCCAGCACTCTTATTCTCTCTCTCTCTCTCTCTCTCTCTCTCTCTCTCTCTCTCTATATATATATATATATATATATATATACATATACATATATATTTATTCCTCACCTGAAGATATTTTTCTACTTATTATCAGCTAGAGTGGCAGGGAAGGAGGAAGAGACAGAGAGAAACATCGATGTGAGAGAGCCACATCGACTGGCTGCCTCCTGCACAGCCTGACCAGGGCCAGGAAGAACCACAACCAAAGCACATGCCCTTGGCCAGAATCAAACCTGTGACTCATTGGTCCACAGGCAGACGCTCTAACCGCTGAGCCAAACGGGCCAGAATTTGAGCCTATGCACCAATTCTTCCTTAGGAAATTTCCAACATACCTTAATATTTTCTTATTGCCACTCCTTTCCCCAAGTCCGAAGAATAAAAAAGAAACTCATTAACTACTATAACTATCTTTGAAAAGGTATTTATGTTTTTGCCTGATTCTAAATTTCATTCTTCAAGTTCACGTTGAAACAAGACTAACATTAGATATCGATTGTCCTGGCTGGCATTGCTCAGTGGTTAGAGCATGGACCCAAACACCGGAGGGTCACGGGTTCGATTCTCAGTCAAGCACATGTACCTGGGTTATAGGTTTGATCCCAGGCTTGGTGAGGGCACCTGTGGGAGGCAACCAATTGATGTGTCTCGCACATCAACGTTTCTCTCTCCCTCCCTTCCTCCTTTCCACTCTCTCTTAAAAAAAAAAAATCAATGAAAAAATATACTCAGGTGAGGAATAACAAAAATTGCCTAAGGAATAATTTAGGCTTTCATTTCCAAATAAATTACAATATATAAAAATTGAGATCATTTGGAATTTGCATAGGAAGCGTGCTCCAGCTAGTGTTTTAAAGGCCCGGTGCTATTATTTGGTAAGTGTTCTTCATGTTGTGATCTGAAACATGCAAATTTTTTGGAAAACTTTTGGTACTACCTTATGAAAGGCTAAACACTTTTTCATAAATACATTTTTTCTCTCCCACAAAAAAGCTAAGCAAATTGTCTAAGTCACTACATTAGATCTGCTCTATATGACAATAGGCAAAATCTAAAAATGTGCTATTAATTTCCCATAAACCTCCATGATTAGGTTCAAGTATCCCATATATATATAATTTCTACAGTTCTCTTTTTGCCCAAAATTCTAAATTCTTCCATTTATATGGAAAAAAAGTATGTAATTTCAGAAAAGAAAGCCTCCTTTTTTTGTAAGTAATGACTTTTTAGAAACAATTATCCTTACTTAGCTTTGGGATATATTTGAGTTGAGCAATGACTATTAAGGTTAAAAATATATACTTGCAAAATGTCAAATAAACAGTACTTAAAATCTACCAAAAGTTATGTCATAAGATACATTTAAAAACTTATCTTTGATTAAATGGCCAGTATCAGGATAGTTAGCAATTTAGAATTTATAGAATTCTGCATTACCTGTGTAACTACATCTGGAGCAAGAATGCCTGTCCCCACAATCCTAGCTATAAAGCTCTTGAAAACAACCCTTGGTAATATCACATTTATACCATACATAAAATCAGCTGCTTGGCTTGGCATATGTGCACGTATGAAGTAATAGTTTCAGTTACTCAGTGACAATCATTGGGTGATGACCTTTTAGCTATGCCAAGAGTGTTTCTAGTATTTAAAGGTACATGTATGTTTTTGGTTTAAAATAGGTCCTAAAAGCAAGCCTGATGCTCTAGCTGGTATAAACTGGAGAAACAGAAATCTATTCCAATGCTAGGGAAAAAAGTTACCATATAGTTCTTTTTGAGACACAGAATATCAGTTTTTACAGTATTTATAAATATGGCCACACATACTGTATTTTTTTATTTAAGAGAAATTTTATAAGGGAAATGTTGACTATACTTTATAGTTGTTTTGATAGAATAACAAGTTAAATATAAAACAGTTTTGCACCTAATCATTTTGGAGTCAAATAAGACAACCAAAACCAAAAATTTCTACATCGATTTAAACTAAAGCTTATTTTGTTGGGGATGGGAGAGGCAAAAACAAAACAAAAGCAAAAAAAAACCTAACTTGATCTATTTGAGGAATCTGGGTGAAGCTGAAGATTCATGGTCTTTTTTTTTTTTTTCATCCTCACCTGAGGACATTTTTCCATTTTTTGTTCAGATAGAGTGGGAGGGAGGGAGGGGGAAAGAAAGAGAGAGAGAGACAGAGACAGAGACAGAGACATCAACATGAAAGGGACACATCGAGTGGCTGCCACCCGCACGACCAACCAGGGCCGGGGACAAACTGCAACCGAGGTACGCGCCCTTAGTGGGAACGGTCTCTCTGGACCGCAGGCCGACGCTCTAACCGCTGAGCCAAACTGGCCAGGGCAAGATTCATGGTCTTAAGTCTAACCAACAGTAGGAGAATTTAACTTCCAAAGCATCATTTACCTTGTTCATCAGGAAGAACTAGATAGTACCAACAGAAGGCAGTCATTACATTTGCCTTAACAAACATTGTATTTACAAAATTAATTGAAAAAGGCAAAAAAGATGCCATCCAAGTATTAAAATAGAAAATATTATTCTTAGCACTGTTTGGTGTGGCTCAGTTGGTTGGAGCTTTGTCCTATATACCAAAAGGTGGTGGGTTCGATTCCCAGTCAGGGCATATACCCAGGTTTCAGATTTGATACCTAGTGGGAGGCAGCTGATCAATGTTTCTCTCTCATATAGATGTTTCTCTCTCTCTCCTCCCCCTTCATCTCTCTAAAAAAAATCAATTAAATACATTAAAAAATTATTCTAAAACAATTTTGTAAGTTTGAAAATTCAGCCATAAACTCATTAGTGAGTGTACTTCTCCAAGACATTAAGTTTAACGAAGAAAAACATACTTATGTGATTCCAGAGAGCAGAAATCTTCTTGTAAGAAATGTTTTATTGTCTTAACCTCCTTTTAGGACTGAAAACTAGCTCTAAAAAAGAACCATGACTATGTCAGCTTGGAATTTCTTTTTATTTAGTCTAAAAAATCTCTTTTTAAAAAGGCAACACTTTCCTCTCCATCCAGCATCTTTCTCATGACCATCACTGAACCACTGCGGCCATTCCCTCAGAAAATGCCAATGATGAACACACAAGATAGAGCATTTTCTTAGAGATTATTTGGCAAGAGAACGTGACAATATTAACCAAATAAATTTAACACAAAGAAATAATGTTATAACTTCAAGTAAACTGCTTTTAGTTAAATCTCTCTCTCTCTTTTTTTTTCGGATCATATACTAGACGACTTCTATTCTTTTTTCATTTTTATCGTCACCCGAGGACATTTTTGCACTTATCTTTAGATAGAGTGGGAGGGAGAGAGGGAGAAAGAGAAAGAAATATTGATGTGAGAGAGACACATCGACTGGCTGCCACCCACATGACCCCAACCAGGGCGGGGACAAACTGCAACCGAGGTATGTGCCCTTAGTGGGAACCGAACCTGGGACTTTCTGGTCCATGGGCCGACACTCTAACTGCTGAGCCAAACCAGCCAGGGCTAGATGACTTCTATTCTTAAAGCTTAGAATAAACTGGGGATACACATCAAAACCAGACCCTAAAGAAAATGGGACTCCGAGAACAGTGGTTTAGCAAAAGTAAACTTGACAACACAGTTAAAATTAATTGGGAAAAAATTTAATAAGCATCAAATGTACTTTACATTGATAATTGCAGTACTGAAACTGACACATTTTAAATAGTTTTCAAAAGAGGTTAGTGATTTTCTTTTTCCTGGCAAATATGGAGATCCGACTATGAGTATTACTGTGACCAATCTAGGTCACCGTGGTCTAGTTAATGCTAATATCTAAACAGGTGTTCACATTTCATGTCTACAATAAGGCAGACTGTGAACTTTTCTACTGTTGAATTTTCACAAAACTTCCACGAGATAATTTAAAGGAATGCCAAATTTCTGAAGTGCAAGCTCATAAACTCTACATTGGGATAATTTTTTTGCTTGAAAGTCTCTGACTTGAGAATACAGGCAATTTTTCTTTCCTAATTCCTTGGAAAATATTTCTGCAGTTAAGTCTTGTGTCTTCTTTACTATGACTGGGTTGTTTTTAAAAAAGATTATCAGCTCTGTGGTTAGTTTCCCACAGTTGATAAAAATCTATCAAAAACATCATAATATAATTTAAGGAAGAAAGTTGTTTTTCAAAGGCTGCAGGAACAGGAAAGAAATAGCACTTCTTATTTGTATAAGCACAGACACTTAAAGCTAATCATACTGCAGACAAATCCAATGGTATTCCAAAGTTCTATAAAAATGTTTACTTCCATTGCTCCAACAGTCAAACGTCAGATCTGCATGAGAGTTGCACTGTAGTAGTTTGCTGGTCCGATTTAAGAGTTCGAAGTCCTTTTTGTATATTTGGCCCAATGATGTCCACATTCCAGATAAATTCAGTTCAAAAAACAGAAATCAGGGCAAAGACTCCATATAACAAAGCACAAGGATATGCTACTAGAAGTTGCTGTCCTTCCATGGCTAATGCAGAAATAAAAATTTTGGAAGCAGAAAAACTACACCATCCAATAATTCCAGCAGTGAGAATGATTCCCACCATTCCTCTGTAACCAACAGGAGAGGGTGAAAAAAGACAGTAGATCAGGTTATGCAGGAATATACTATAATAAGCAATTATTTTAAAGCAGCATTTTAAATCTACATGTAGACATCTGCAGATATAATCAGGATTTTTGTCCCCTAATGTTCAAATGTACTTCACAGTGAATTCAGTAATGCTGAATTAACCATGTGATAAAGAGCTCATATATGAACACATTTTGCTCCTTTGAGCACAGGGTTTCTCAACCTTGGCACTACTGGCTGGCTTGGATGTACTTTTGTTGTAGGGGCTGTTCTATTTGTTGTGAGGATGTTCAGTAGCATCCCTGGCCTCTAACCGAAAGATCCTAGAAGTACTCTGTCCTCCACAAGTGTGACAACCAAAATCATCTCCAGGTATTGCTGCCAAATGTCCCCTGGAAGCAAAACTGCCCCTGTTTGGAAAACACTGTTTTGGTAGAAAATATCTTCTATAGAATTCAAATATAAATATATCAAGCTCAACAAATGAGAAGAGTGAAGCAGTTTCTATACTGAAAACCTGAAGAGTTTTTATCCAAAGCAGGAACACTGTAAAACCATCATCTTGCCAAATCTCTGGTATCAACTAGTTGATATTTGCTCCTCTCTTAAAGCTCCACTGAACTTTCTAAGAGGAACAAAGCTGGCTCACTGGTCGCATCCAGCACTGGCCACAAGGAGGAGCTTGACCTGTTGAAAGCATCTGTGCACTGGCCTCGAGGAGGAACTTTTACACCTTATCAAAATTATCTAAAAATTAAACATATCTGAAGCTGCTTACAAGTACATCTGAGAATATGATAGGCTAGTAATAGCTTTGTGCCAAAAAATGTTTCATTTTCAGTTAAAAAGCTGCCAAATATAGAGTATATGTTTATAATTCATTCACTTAGCACATGCTCAAAATCTTCAAGAAATCAAATATAGTTTAAAAAATATCAAAGAGAAAGTATATATACTTTTAAAAAAATTAACCTCTCCATGCTGAATTTAAAATTTACATTAACAATGACCACTTTAACTGTTTATAGACCTGGAAAGTGAACACAAAACTAGTGAAATTGTTTGTAAAAGCAGAGGTGGTATAATACATTTTAAAATGTATTCTCAGTTCCACTGTTCATCAATGAAAAGCATGTAGCAGTTCTCAGTCAGAGGAACTACCTAATGTTTGCTGAGTCAGTGGTTTATCTCGATAGTAAGGTAAATTCTATTACACAGAATTGGCCAATCAACACCCAAAATAAAGATCAGTACTTACTGCAAAGAAAATATCACTGCAAAGCTGGAAAGTAGGATCATGGGAAGAAGACAATATCCAAGGACACTTGCCACACAACCAAATGAAACGCCTGTCATACTCATCAAGTTTAACAAACAAAACATTCCTAGACATCCAATTGCACTGATTCCATATACGTAGCCAAACTGGATTTTGCCAGCCTATGGATAAAGAAAAGATTACAGGTCAAAGGGCAAAAAATAAGTTATTTTTGGTCTTATTTCACCTAGACGGTACACATGAAAGATAATCAACTTATGCGCATCAAAATCTACAGAGGTATTTATTCTTTATGGAGAAAAGTAAAAACACTGAATAGATTGACTTTTACATCTTTCTTAAGAAGTATAAAGTATCCACCTCCCAATACACAGATATTTGGTTTTTCATTTTCCCGTTAGTATTTGAGCTTGGCATGGAATTCAAGAAATAGATAAAAAATTACAGAACAATCACATAAAGTAGATTTCTAAAAAAGACACATGTTTGATTTTAAGCAAATAAACTACAGACACAAGATGGGAAACCATTCAGAATGTTTGGACAATAAATAGCTAATATGACTTGAAAGAAACTAATTCCACCAAAACTGCTCCAAAGCAATTTATTCTCATTGGCAAGATGTAGCCATAATCTTTTTAACAGTAGGAATAATTTCATTAATCACTTTATATGTGTACTAGAGGAGCTAGGAGATCAAAGCCAGGATAAGCAGGAAGCCAGGGTTCTGTAGGAAGGGGAGGAGAAAACTGAATAACAACTAGGCAAGAGGAATATGGAAGATACTGTTTTCTTTATTTTTCTAAATTGTTGGTTGACTTATAAAGTCCCTTGACCAAAAACAAACAAAAACTGAGGACAGTCAAGGTTAGATAAACTGCAGTTATAGTACCACTAGTCAAGCTATGTAAACAAACATTGTTTAATTGTATTCAGGTCACATTATGACTAAAATCAGTCTTTAGAGAAGTGTTCAAAAAGCTCCCAGTTTGTTAAGATTTTCGACATATAAAGTTCAATTGCAAGAATGCCTCTATAAATTCTGTTAAATAGAAAAAGCCTTGGGATTTTTATTAGACTAAATATTTATTCGTAAATACTTGATCGAACATGTAGAAGTTTGAAAAGGTTCAGCTGAGTTTATTGATGAATTCACTCATGTAGTAATAATAAACCCTCATACTTACCCAGTGTTTTAAAAGTTTCTAAGTGTTCTCACATAACCTGTCTGGCTTAATCTCCAAAACAATCTTGTTAGGTGGAAAGCACAAAATTGTCTATCAGAGCTCAAGTACATAGTAGGAGTACTGAGTTTATGCCCAGCTATTCTGACTAAAAACCACATCTTCTATTCATTACGTCATTTATCTCTTCTAACTCAGAGACATTAGATAAAATGAAATGAATATGAATAATTATCTTTACAACTTTTCATTTATAATATGTTTTAACATTCTTAGGAAGGAAGGAGATAGGGAATAATCCTGTTCTTTAATGTTTCCATTCATTAAAAGTCGAAACAGTAAATAGAAAAATAAACACTAGCACCACAAGGACACACTATCCAAAGTCTAGAAATTAAAAAATAAAATATAAAAGAGCAACAGACTAAAATTTTTTTATTAATCTCTGAAAAGAAGGGATTCTGATGAATGAATAGTCACACATTATTTATTTATTTATTTTGTTTTCCCCTAATAACTGGACCACTTACTGGAACAAGAAATGATTTCTAAATATACTATATTTACTATCAATGGAGATGTGATGAATAGAGTTGAAACTAAAATCTTACCAGCAACAATGTGGCTCCAAAGGCAAGGCAAAAAACCATGGGTCCTGCCAGATCAGTTTCATTCATGATGCTGCCATCTGCTACTTTTAATGGATGTAATACTGTTAGTGTTTTTTGCCAGATGTGATCAAAATTGATACCCAATTCTAAAAGAAAAGAAAATAAGAAAGTCAATTAGGATTTGTGATATACTGTTAGTTTACCAGAATCTGTTAAAAGAGAATGACCAAATGAAATATGCAGCATCAAAAGATCTAGCAATACCAGATGATATTATTTGGGTGAGTCCTCACCACCAGTCTTTACTGACTGTGGTGCCTATCCTACAATACCCAATTTCTGGTTTTGTGCTGGAAAAGGCTATGAATATGATGAAACAGACACTCTCAGTTATGACTGCATAGCAAAGAACACATGGACAGGGTTAACAGCAAAGTGTCTTTTACCTAGGACTTCAGGACTACCTGAAGAACCCATGAAATTGTGTGCAAAACTACGTCTGCATGCATATGTGCGAATTTTTCTGATGAGGGTATTCAGCTTCCATTATACTTCAAAGGATTATCAACCCCCCACCCTCACAAAAAAAAGGTCCAGTACTACTGCTTTATGGGTTTTGGAATACAATTTGAAAACCACCATACTTTTCAGAGATGTTACTAGTTCTGCCAGCTTATTTCCGTGTGGAATAATCAATACCATGTTACTTCCTTTCATATCTTCCACAGATAGAATTTAATCAATATGAAGTAAAAGTCTATGCTAATATATTGATATACTTTATCATCACTTTATAAAGGTATATTAAAAATCTGGTCCCTTCTGACTCAATGAGGTTTCATACATAATCTGTTCAAAATAGATCACTTAGTAGAAATTTTTTTCTAAAACATTATTCTTTTAAAAGAAAGGACAACTTCTCCAAACTGAGATTTATTTTCACTAACCAGCTGGATACTATAAAATGCTATTAAGTGTTGCAACCAATCTGACCTTCTAACAGCGGTGGTTCATCCTCAAAGCTGTTTCCATAGAATGGCTGAGATGTTGTTGGAGTAAATGTCTGAGTTGGCTGGAAAATCTGCCCGGTGTACGGCGGTTGTGGCTGTATCATGTCTGGAGGGACAAATCGGCCTTGCTGCGAGTAGTCATAGCCAGCATACTGTCTGTAAATCAAAGTAAGTTACCTTTCTCAAACCTATGTCACTCCCAACAGCTAATATCCCTGATGGCTAGATAATCTTAGTCATGCAATTCCTAGGTTATCTACCTTGCCACTATTTTTTTTTTAATATGTGTATATTTTGTTCATTTTATTTTTGAGAGAGAGAGAGAGAGAAACATCAACTTGAGAGAGACACAATGACTGGTTGCCTCCGGCATGACCCCGACCAGGGCCAGGGACTGAACCGTAACCTACGTACGTTCCCTTGACCAGAATTGAACCCGCGACTCTGGTCCGTGGGCTGACACTATAACCACTGAGCCAAACCGGCCAGGGCTACCTTCCAGTTTTTATAAATGAAGGTTGAAATAATTACTAAGGTCAAGCTGACTATCGACAATAAGTTGTCTGTGGTTTATAAAGAAGCTTCCTGATGATGCCAACACTCACTTATGCAGCACTTAAGCATTTCACAAACTATTTAACTTTTAAACATTAGGGGGTCAACAAATGACAACTTAAAAATCTTGTCTATTTTATTATAAGGATAGCTGTGAAATAAAATTTGTCTAAGACTCTGAATGAAAACTTAAGATGACAGATTTTGTACTAAGTTATGTAATTTTCCTTTGTAATTTGGATCTCCATTGAAAGAAAAATCATTCTGCCCTGGCCAGTTTGGCTCAGCGGTTAGAGCGTCGGCCTGCGGTACAGAGAGACCCGGGTTCGGTTCCCGCTAAGGGCATGTATCTCGGTTGCAGTTTGTCCCCGGCCCTGGTTGGTCGTGTGGGTGGCAACCACTCGATGTGTCCCTTCACATCGATGTTTCTCTCTCTCTCTCTTCCTCTCTCTCCCTCCCTCTCTGTCTGAACAAAAAAAAACAAAAACAAAAACAAATGCAAAAATGTCCTCGGGTGAGGATAAAAAAAAAAAAAAGAAAGAAAGAAAAATCATTCTTTACTTTTTGTAGTATGCTATTTTTTGCAAGTTGGTAAATATTTTTAAGAACAACCATCAATTTCAAACCACAGAACGGAAAAATCAAGCTGTTTCTTTGTGAAAGCTTTCTACATACAACAAAACATTATTAGTACACCCTGCATTTGAATAGCTACTGTTTTATTTGGTATGTGCTATATAGCAAATCTTGCATTTTAGAGGCAGAGACCTTACCATAGATATTTTAGTAGTGAAAACAATATAGAACAAAAGGATATTGAAGCAGTATCATCCTTAAGCGATTTTATTTATTTATTTTTGCTATCCACAGGTGGAATTTATTTTTATTCAAGGAAGGTTCAGAAAATACTGTACTCTCAAGTCCTTTCAACGCATAGAAAAAAACACCTACCCCTATTATGTAGAATAATCTTTCTTACTTAAATTCAAGTGATTATGGACTTTTTTCTTTTTTTGCATTTATCTTTAGATAGAACAGGAAGAGGAGGAGGGAGTGAGAGAGAGTGAGAAAGAGAGAAAGAGAGAAAGAGAGGAGAGAAAGAAAGAAAGTTGCAAGAGAGACATATTGACCGTCTGCCACCCGCATGACCCCAACCAGGGCCAGGGACGAACTGCAACCTAGGTACATTCCCTTAGCGGGAACTGAACCCAGGACTCTCTGGTCCGCAGGCTGATGCTCTAACCGCTGAGCCAAACCGGCCAGGGTGTGATTATGGACTTTAATCACAATTACAAAAGCTTTCTCATTAACATCTACATTAGTGCTTGAACAACTGGAATAGTAGCTTAGTTAACATGGCAACTCCTTCTTATTTTACAATGATCTGGGCAAAAAAATGACGTTTCTATCAATGAAACTAATCTAATTACATAGTAAGAAATGCAGAAGTAAAATAATTATTTAATTAAGACAGTATAAAAATGAGAGCTGAGAAGCCTTAGAAATCCTTTAGTCTAATTACCTTTAAATTTTTATAGCTCCTTTTTGATAAATATAAAATCTAATGATCTCCATTAATATTATTTGAGATTTTACAATTAAATCTAGTTTTAACTAAACATCTTGATTAAAAGCAAAGGGACATTTTCAACTGCACATAGCCCTCTAGAAACTCCAGTTGGATTCTGAAGACTCACCACACTAGTCCAATCCATGCCGGAAAAAAGATACTATTTATTTTTCTGGTTATACAAAAATATAGAATTCACTGCAGCATTATTTATTTATTTATTTTTATCCTCACCCGAGGACATTTTTCGATATTTTGTTCAGATAGAGTGAGTGGGAGAGAGAGAGAGAGAAACATCGACGTGAAAGCGACACATCGAGTGGTTGCCACCCACACAACCCAACCAGGGCCGGGGACAAACTGCAACCAAGGTACGTGCCCTTAGCGGGAACCGAACCCGGGTCTCTCCGGACCGCAGGCCGACGCTCTAACCGCTGAGCCAAACCAGCCAGGGCCACTGCAGCATTATTTTAACAGTAAAAGATAGAACAAACAATATAAATAACTATCAGTAAATATGTTGTGATTTGAGCATAGATTACTATGCACCTGTAAAAAAAAAAAATGAAGCAGTTACATATGTACTGATAAGGAATGACAATCAATAAATATTCAGTGGGAGGGAAAAAAAACCAATGTTCAGAATAGTATATACGTATATACCGTAATATGTGTGCATTTTATAGATATAAATAAATATACAGGTAAATGAACCTGGATACAGGGACACAGAAGACTTAATGAAAAATGTACATTTAGCCTGGCCGGTGTGGCTCAGTGGTTGAGCGTCGACCCATGCACCAAGAAGTCGCCAGTTCAACTCCTGGTCAGGGTACATGCCCAAGTTGTGCCCAATCCCCAGTGGGGGGCAAGCAGGAAGCAGCCAACTGATGTTCTCTTTCATCGATGTTTCTAGCTCTCTCTTTCTCCCTTTCTCTCTAAAATCAATAAAGGGGAAAAAAAAAGACTTCATTTAAAAAACATATATACATTTATTATTTACTGAAATTAATTCTTCTTTTTTATTCCTCACTAGAGAATATTTTTCCATTTATCATCAGATAGAGTGGGAGGGAGGGGGAAAGAGAGAAAAACATCGGTGTGAGAAAGACACATGAACTGGTTGCCTCCAGCATGACCCACAACCGAGGTACGTGCATTTGACTGGAATCAAACCCATGACTCTTTGTTCTGTGGGCAGATGCTTTAACCACTGAGCCAAACCAGCCAGGGCTTGAAATTAATTCTAAAATGTTATATGTGATATATAGGTTTATAGTACCCACTGACAATTTCCAAAAACATAACTAACATCCTTTTTAGTATTACTGTGTAATGTACTATTGTAAGTGTTTAAATGTAAATTATCTCATGTTATCTTCACTACAACTGTAGGAAGTAGATTTTTTTCATCCTCCCCAGTGTAAAGATGAGAAAATTGATATTTGGATTCAAATGATTTGGTACCAGGATTCAAAACTAGACATTTAGACTCTCTCTTTTTAAAAATCGATTTTAGAGAGAGGAAGGGAGGGAGAGAGAGAGAAAGAAACATTGATGTGAGAAACACTGATCGGTTGCCTCTCACATGCACCCCAACTGGGGATCAAACCCACAACCTGGGTATGTGCCCTGTCTGGGAATCGAACCCGCCACCTCTCGATGTATAGGGATACACTCCATCCAAGTGAGTGGGCCAGACCCTAACTCTTAACAACTATAATAAAAATCCCACCCAAAACCTGCCTTACAGAGACAGCTGTAATAATTGATCTGGGCGTGCATTTCCCCAGTCATTTTAGTATACAAGTAAATGGATTTCTATTTACTTACACATATATACACCTCACAGGGTCAGCTGATTGAACTAAGACAGAAATTTACATTTTCTAATTTAGTACAATATGCTATTTTGTTGATATCTGTTAGGATGTATCATAAATACACATTTGAGTTTATGAAATAGCTACAAAAGCACCTTATGAAGGTTTCTATAATCTGCATAAACAGATTTTATTTTATTCTCTCTCCTTCTCTCTCTCTCTCTCACACACACACACACACACACACACACACACACAGAACAGATAAATATGTATGTGCAACAGAAAGAAAATGATATAGACCAGTGGTTCTCAAACTCTTGTGGTCTTAAGACCCCCTTTATATTCTTTTTCTTTTTTAAAACTGTCACTCGAGGATATTTTTCCATTGATTTTCAGAGTGGGAGGGAGGGAGAGTGAGAAACATCAATGTGAGAGAGACACACTGACTGGATGCCTCCTGCACAACCCCAATCAGGGCCAGCAGTTGAAGCACAACAGAGGTATGTGACCTTGACTGGAATCGAACCCGAGACTCTTTGGTCCACAGGAGGACACTTTAACTGCTGAGCCCAACTGGCCAGGGTTATAAATTTTTTAATTTTAATTTTACTTTTTGTTTTTTGTCTTTATTGTTGAAAGTACTACAGATGTAACTCCTTTTCTCCCCCACTGACACCCTCCTCCCTGCTCCCTCCCCCACCCCTGCCTTCACCAAATTGTTGTCTGTGTCCATTGATTGTACATATATGCATACCAAGTTCTTCGGTTTATCTCCCCCCACCTTCCCTCTGAGGTTTGTCAGTCTGTTCCCTATTTCCATGTCTCTGGATCTATTTATTTTGTTGGTTATATTCCACAAATAAGTGAGATCATATGATACCTATGTTTCTCTGACTGGCTTATTTCAATTAACATAATACTCTCCAGGTCCCTCCATGTTGTCTCAAAGGGTAAGAGGTTTTTCTTTTAACAGCTGCATAGTACTCCATTGTGTATATGTACCACAGTTTTTTTATCCACTTGCCTACAGGTGGACACTTGAGCTGTTTCACTCTTAGTACTGAGAGCCCCAAAGATGGTTTGGTGTAGGTTATATCTATTGATATTTATCATATTAGAAATTAAAACTGAGAAATGTTTAATGTATTTACTAGTTCATTTAAAGTAACAATAAATCTATTATATGTTAGAAAATATTAGTATGAGTTATGCAGATGTTCCAAATATTGACACTTAATATAAATTATAAAGGGTGGAGCAAAAATAGGATGAGTTTTCACATGAAAAAATACAATAAATAATAATATAAAAATAAACTGTTTCCCTTACTCACAACTGTAAACCTACTTTTGCCATACCCAATATATATAAAATATAAATATAAAAATCACATTTGTTAATGTCACCAGTGCTCTCATCAGAAAAAAATGGTTAATTACTGTGAAGCTGACAAATTCACGATGATGGATAGAAGTTTTACAAAATCCTCAAATTTTGCCTGAAAACACTAATTTGATAATTGGCCACACATATATATTATCAATTGTGTTCTTTGAAGTAACAGGCTCATTTCATTCATTTGTGAGAAAGTATCTGTCAAATACTGAAGTCTGAATAACCAGTTTGTTAGTTGTCCTTTTCAATAAAAATGGTTTCCATGAAAAAGCGACTGACTCACTTAGAGACTCAAATTGCATGGTGGCTTTTCCTAGATAATCATTGTACTTCAGTATGAAGTAGAAGTGCTTTATAACTGTTTCACATTTTATCACATAGAATATTTCTAAAATAGTCAGGATATAATAAAACTGCAATTCTTAATGCTTCATTAAGGGCATCCTTAAATAAAGCTGGTCCCGCCACCCCCTAACAAGTGTGCGGCAATGAAGAATACAATGACTACCAGTACAATTTGCTGTCACTGTCTTAATTCATATTTGGGTACCAGCAGTTTTACCAAGCATTGCTCTTGCAACATCAGTGAAAATGTCAGCACACCTAAAAGGTATAGAATGTCTTAGTATTGTTATAAAAATAGTTTTGACCTTAAAGACTCTCTGAAAGGTCTCAAGGACCCTGTAGGGTCTGTAGTCCATACCTTAATATACTGATATAAACCCACAAATGTCATGTAAGAAAGAGAAATACTGCAAACAAATGATAGCTTCAAAGGGGCAGTATCATTCCTTCTTCAAGGCACAACGTGAAAATGATTATATCATGAAATTTTATTATTTCCCTTTTATGGCAGGACCTGCTCAGAAAAGGAACTGGCTTGCCTGTGCTAGCTTTCATCTAAAACACAGTATGATAGACATGATCTCTGTAGACTAAATCAACACTTTTATAGCAGGAGAAGCAGCACATAATAAATCTGCTTTAGCACTCATAACACCAAAGACCCAGCCTCTTAACATACTGGGTTGGCTACTTAAGTTCATGAAAATCAACAGATAGTCCATAAAGGTATTACCAGTTAAATTAAAGATGAAAAAATACTAGCTTTCAATACTTAAAAAAATATGTAAGGTATTACTACATGTCTTAGAGGCCCATCTAGAATACAGTGTGGGTCCTATCCAAATATAACCTTCATAAATTCAACAGATTAAGACTAAAGAGGCTTTAATTTATTGTTTGTTTGTTTTATCGTCACCCAAGGACATTTTTGTATTTATATTCAGATAGAGAGGAAGGAAGAGAAAGAGAGAAACATCGATGTGAGAGAGACACACTGACTGGTTGCTACTCACACAACCCCAATCAGGGTGGGGACAAACTGCAACCGAGGCACGGGCCCTTAGCAGGAACCGAACAAGGGACTCTCTGGTGTGTGGGCCAACGCTCTAATCACTGAGCCAAACAAGCCAGGACTTTTATTGTTTTAATATCAATATATGAATGATGCTTATAAAGTATCCATAGAGAAAACTATGTAAAATGTTAAAGCTGACCTCATAAGGAAAATGTAAAACTATAACTAATAAGTCAAGTCAAACTTGAAGACAATCCAAGTAATATGCTATTTGAACTTACAATTTTTCATCAATAGATAAAAGTTATCAGCTGATCTTTGTTACCAAGTTAACAAAAACAAAGTATTATTTGATAAACTGAGATGGACATTTAAACTGTCATTAGGTTGCAGCTTTCATTAAAGGTACATAAAGAAGTAGAAGAGGCCAGTTATTATTATTTTTTTTATAAAGTTCAGAATGTAGTTATTACTACTAATACACTAGGATTCTTGTTTTCCTAAGTATCATCTATAAACAGATGATACTCATTAATGGGCAATAATGGTTATATAAACACCTTGAACAAAACTTCTATCACTGGAGCAATGCTTACTGGTATATAATTTGATTGGAATAGAATTGTGAGAATAGTTAGCAAAAGAATCTAAACTGCTCTGGAAAACTGAAATGAGAGATAAGTGGAATGATAAATTACTCCTTTAAGTAATGCAACCATGAGCAGGATAGAAAAGAAAGGCAAAAAGAGATAAACCTAGAAAGTTGCAACCTAAATGAAATAATTCTGCTGAGTCCAAACCTCAATATGCATGATTTGATTTAAAAAAAGGCTTGCATACAGAGCAGGTTTTCCAAAGCCCTACAGCTGTAGTTGGGCTAATCTTACATTCAGTATAATCTTACATTGTATATTGTGCCTTCTCATATACAAAACAAGGACAGAAAATACATATTTAGGTAAATAAATGAATTAATATTTCTCAACATGATTTTTTCAATTATTTCCAATTGATTGTGCAAAAAAGATAAATCCTCAATATGTAATTGAGAATTTAACAGAAAAAAAGTGATTCAGAGAGAATTATTTTACATGCTCACTCCCATGGGTTCCGTGTGTTTTTTTTTTGGGGGGGGACCTCTAGAATATATAAAAATAAACATATTCAAGAGGTATAGATTGTAAAAAGTATAACCTATCCATGACAGACCAGACTATGGAGCTGCATTTTATTTTTGCTTTGTTTTGTAAATTCCAGAGCACTTCCACTCAGATTTATTAATTCAAACACATTCTACTACTACATGGTTCTCTCACAGTGACTGGATACACAATCTTCCCTTGCACTTATCCTGGGATAGTCTCCACGAGGTTTTTAATTCATGACCCACAGATGAACACCAGATGACACATGAACTGTCTGAAGTCATATGCCACATGTATGTGGATATTTGAGTACATGCACATATTTCTCAGAAGTAGGCCCATAGTTTTCATTAGACCCTTACAGGAGTCCTGGACTGTCTGAAAAGGTGAAGCAAACCTGGTACAGGAAACTCCTTCACTGGTCGGAAGGCTGATAAGATTATCTTTAAGGTCCTAAGAAACTAAGGATGTGATATACTAGAGGGGATGGACAGAAAACCTTCAGTTAGTGTATTTTTGCCACAAATACCAGGAATTATTAATAAAAATGACTATCAATTGCTTTATCAATATCACCTGAAGCACCTGATGATTCATAACAAGAAACTTACACTGTTAAATAGTTTCATTTGCACTTTCTTTTTTTTTTTAAATCCTCATCCGAGGACACATCGAGTGGCTGCCACCCGCACAACCAACCAGGGCCGGGGACAAACTGCAACCGAGGTACATGCCCTTAGCGGAACCGAACCCGGGTCTCTCCGACTGCAGGTGGACACACTAACCGCTGAGCAAAACCGGCCAGGGCTTCATTTGCACTTTCAATTGATTTTGATACCATCTGAAAGTTAGACTCTTTTGACCACTAAAAAAGCCATCAAATTTAATTTTTAAGTGGTCCTGTGGACTAAATAGCCTATCTTCTAGGTACCTGAAATCCTATCCATATCTTACATGATGTAGAAACACTGTGCTAGAAAAAATCCTTCAACAATCTACTTTTCTACCTGCATTGCACCTGAAGATTTTGCACTACATACCAAACTCTAAGTAGGGCAGCCCCTTCAAACCCAAACCAGGGTCCCAGTCCTCTCTGGAGGAAGGAAGGTTATGAAAAGCACATTCCTGATCAGCAGAGGCAAGTTCACACATTCAGTTTTAGGCAGAACCAAACATTCTGGGCACATGCTTTCACGGAAAGGTTGAGTGAATAAACTGCCAAAGCTGAAAAGTTACTTGCTATAGGGTCCTCCACTTCCGCCATAATCATAGGACTGCTGTGACTGGTCATCAATGCTGTAGCTTGTCTGGTAGAAATCCGTGTTTAAGTTTTCAAAGCCTGACATTGCAAACAATCTGCAACAGAAGAGAAATGGCAAAGACTGCTTACGCTCAAGATCCTACTGAATTCGCTCCACAAGCTTGGCTGAAGCAAACCGCCCCAGAAGGCTGCAAATACTTCTTCTGAAACGTTGGGAAGCAGCATTTGGAGGATGGCTCGGGGGTCGAGGTACAATGGTTGCTAAGGGAATGTCTACTCTCTAAGTCAAGGCCTGGGAAGGCACCTCCGCTAGAAGGAACTGATCAGCTGCGAGTTAGGGGCGGGGTCGTGGGAGGAATGGCTCTGCGGAGTTCAAAATAACAAGGACGATTTTTCTTCTTAGGGCTGCGATTTACAACTGACAACGCGGCTAGCTCCATGCAAATAAGGACCGGATCTGCCAGGAAAGTGCAGGTTCCTGCAAGGCCGCACCTTTGGTGCAGAGGCCGCGGCAGAGCAAGGGCTTGAAAGGGAGCGAGGGTCTGGGGAAAGGACCCGGCGCGGCGCCCAAAGGCGGCGAAGCCGGCTGCCCAGGTGTGGGGAGAGGCCAAGACGTGCGCCACCGGCCTGGGACACTCACCAAACGCGGAGGCGGCCGCAGTAGCTCCCGCAGCGCCAGGACACCCCCGAACTCAGCCTAGGACCCTGAACAAGCACCGTTGCTACGTGTCACAGGCCAAAAAACTGCTTCCGGGGCACGCCCCTCTTGCGCAGGCGTGATGGCCAATTTTGCTCTCCTTTACTGGACGCCGCCGAGGGAAAATGGGGAAAACTGATATGGTGCATGCGCAGTATCGACCAATGGGAAGAGGGGAAGTACTTCCGCAGTCTGGCAAGCAGTAGAGGCGGAAAGGCGCAGGCGCTGCATGCAACGGTTACTGTTTGGGAGGAGGGAGAGTTCCGAGAAGTTGGATTTGGTGGAAGCGGTGCAACCAGTGGAATGAAGCAATACAGCCTGTCTCCTGTCCACCAACTAAAGCTTCAGTCTTTCCGGACTTCCTGTGGTTCAGGCACTGTGCTAAAGAGTTTATGTGTATTATTAATTTATTTATTCTTATAAGCTAATGAGATGGTTACTCCTTTTATAGATGTCACAGGACATCTGCTACCTGTGCTAACTTCCGGGGATATCGTGGACACTAGGGTGATATAAGCTAGATGGCACTGCTCACATGGAGTTGGTGAAGGAGGAAGATAATCAAACACATAAGTACATGTGAAATTGTTACTAATATTCTTATGTGCGTCCTAATTCTTTGAAAGGGTGTACTAGTCATCTGGGAATAAGAACCTGAAAAACCACTATGAGGTAGTTATCAAAAGAGTAACTGGGAGTTAATTAGGGAAAAGGGGGAATCAGGAAAAAGGAAGGGAAAAAAAGGGAAAGAGAAAGACAACAGCTTATACAAGGCCTGGTACTGGGGAAAACATGGTGTAAGGAAAGTGTAAGTCAGGGTTTCTCAAGCTCTGCACTATTAACATTTTGATCCAAATCATTCGTTGTTGTAGAGAGCTGCTCCATGCACTGTGGGATATTTAGCAGCAACCTTGACCTCTACCCAGTAGATGCCAGTAGCATCTCCCTTCCCACCTTGTCACAACTAAAAATATCTCCAGCCATTGCAAAATGTCTCCTGGGTAACATCAGAGTTTGGAAATGACTAATCTAAATGAAGCCAGGATGATTGGAATAGCAAGTGAGGGCAGCCACATAGGAGTTGAGGCTGGAGCTACAGGCAAGGGCCGGAGTATGGTGTCTCATTGGATTCTGGTATTGGTTCTAAAAGAAAAAAGAAATCACTTAAATATGAACTGATTGAAAGGCAGTTTCCTTTAAAAAAAATTATTTATATATATATATATATATATATATATATATATTGCTCCGGCTGCTGTGTTAAATCACTTTTTCAAAGTGGAGAAATCCTGACTACCCTAACTCCAGATGTTATGGTATTAACCAGTGAGCAGGAGTGTCTTCAGGATTTATAGTACTAATATCTATATTAAGAGCCATTGCATCGTGTGCTGGAACCAAAATCCTGACCAAAGAAGTTAGGCCACTGCTCTGGGACCAGTTTCCAAAGGAATAATAACATTTTATTGGTTAAAATGAAACAAAGAAGTAAAAATAAAACAAAAACACATTCCCCTCCAGACAAAAATAGCAACAGCAAAGGACATAAAACACCAAGGACTGTACTCTGGAGATGAACAGGCAGCTGGCCACCCTTTGAGGTTTCCTACAACATCAGAGAATGTTAGAAATTGCTCATCCAACTATTTATCACCTTTTACAAATCATTTTAGAATTTATTGTAGGTACCATCTACACAACTCAAGATAGACTGACTGTATATCCTGATTTGCTGGAGATAGCCCCGTTGTCCCATTTTATGCATAATTTTTCCAGCATAACTATTAATATTGTCCATTTTTCACTCTCAAAAGTATCCCAGCTTTACTGGTAAATTATATGATTGTGCTCTCTAAGCTACATTAACTGAAGCTGAGTTTCTAGCTATCAACAATATGCAGTAATCTGTCACTTTATCTACTTATGATTGTGATCTTATTGTTGAAAAATAATTCTAGTCTCTTTGTTTCTTCTGATGTTTCCATTTCTTCCTATTCAAAATGGATTTTACTCTCAAATTTAAACAAAGTACAAGAATATGACTATTAAAGTGAAATAAGTTATACAAATACCATATGATTTCACTTATATGCATAAGCCGGAGAACAAAATAAATGGAAAAACAAAACAGAAACAGACTCATAGATACAGAGAGCAAACTGATGGTTGCCAGAGGGGAGGTGGATTTGGGGGGTTGGGTGAAAAAGGTGAAGGGATAAAGAAGTACAAATTGGTAGTTACAAAATAGTCATAGGCATGTACAGTACAGCATAGGGAATATAGTCAATAATATTATAATAACTCTGTATGGGGCCAGGTGAGTACTTGAAATATCAAGGGGATTACTTTGTAAATTATATGGCTGTCTAACCACCATGTTTTCCACCTGAAAAAAATATAAAATAATATTGAATGATAACTATAATTAAATGAAATAACAAAAAGTATATGAGCATTAATAATTACCTGCCTAGGAATGAGTTTTTAGATATAGATATTATTTAAATTCTGCTTCTATGAAAGCAATTACCATATTTACTGGATTTTTTTTTTCCTCTCCAACCTCTGCCCCAATTGAGAACCAAGCAAGAAAATCAAGTTATGTGATTAAATCTTCCATATTGTTTGCTTGACTTTGAAATATAAGCCAATGTATTCTGCAAAAGCCTCTTGGGGATTTTGAGAACACCAGTGAATTTCACAGCCAGTCAGGTAGTCCTTTCTTTTTGGAAACTTTTATTTATTTGTTTGTTTATTTTGGTGTTGTACCTCCCCACCCCAGGACAGGTTCCAGTAAACTACAATAGAGAAACTATAGTACTTGGTAAATGTGCTGACCTCTGTTAGTCATTGAGCTGGCTTCATTAGGAGTAGAAAATCTCAACCAGGTCAAGAGATGATGGACTATGAAGAGTCCTTCTCTGGAACCTAGTATGTCAGTTGCCAAACTTGTAACAAAAAAAGTAATATATTTTAATTAGTTTCACAATCATGCTAGTATGCATACACTTTTACATGTTTCACAAATACATTAAAAAACTCTCCATTTTTTTTAGGATGGCAGTGAAATTGTACTTAGGTATCCTGAAGTTGCTTTGTTTCCCTCTGTTTTATAGTATGTATGTCATGGAAATTGTGCCAGAAAATTACGGTTTGATCAAGGGTAGTTTTCCCCTACTTTTAGCCATAGACACAAGCACCAAATAAGGTAAAGATTTGGCAGCTGTGAGTGTATGATGTCAAGTTCCACAGTGAAACCTGATAATTATGGTAAAAACCACTGAAATTGCCCAAAATATGTTTTCACTATCCCTGGCTTATTAATTATGTAACCCCATATCGTAAATATGACATATATTTCCCCCAAATTATCCTTTATCCCTTAGACAAAAATTTTCTCATTAAATTCTGCTTCTGTTACTTCAATTATTTTACTTTGAACACTAAATTACTGTTTTGGGAAGACAAATTTGCCTGTAGCAAAATTAAATACTTTTGGACAGAACTAGTTCTTAAAAGGCAAAGAAAGTTATCCCCAATTTAATAATTATTCTTGGGACTTTGACTTTAATACTGCAAGTGCCTCATGTTGTTGCAAAATATATATATACACACACATACATACACACACACGTATAAGATATGTATATATCTTTTTTTGATAATTAAAATTTTTTTCTTTATTTTTAGAGAGGAAGAGAAAAATAGAAACAATGATGAGAGAGAACATCAATTGACTGCCTCCTGCATGACCCCCACTGGAAATTGGGCTCAAAACCTGGGCATATGTCCTGACTGGGAATAAAACTGGCAACCTCTTGGTTCATGGGTTGACGCTCAACTACTGAGCCACACCTGCCAGGTGGTATTTTTAAAACAATGCTCTAAGTATTTTTATTGTACAGATCACAAATATCCGCCTAAATAAAAAAAACAAAGACATTTTTAATATTCGATGAATGGATACTTTGGTTTGGAATAAGAATTTCAATGACCATGTTTGAAATTTTATATCTCAAATTACTTACAAGGGGTGATAATGTAAAAAACAAAACAAAACGAACAACAACAACAACAACAAAATCAGCATCGTAAAACTGGGCTTTAATGATGGCAGAGCACCTTGTGCCAAAGATGCAAGTGAACACCTGAAATACCCAACAGCAACAGCTACGCATGCTTACTGTGTGCCAGGCACTGCTCTGAGCACTTTGCACCTTTTACCTCAAGCGCTTTTCCAAACAATGCAATAAGGAAGGTGCTGTATATTTGACACATGGTGAAACTGAGAACAGGGTGGTTAAATAACTTGTCGAACATCATGAGGCTAGGAAACAGTAGACCTGAGGTTTGAACCCAGTCTGGTAAACCACTAGAGTGTATTATTATTGTATTACATAATGTGAATGCAGGAAAAGGCATATACTAATGAATATACTACCTTACCTAATATTTGATTATATTGTACTGTATATCCTATAAATACTAAAATTTAATGAATATACTATTTTAACATGTTTATATATATAACATATATCTTATATATGTACACACACTAAAATTGCAATTAGACAGTTGATAATTGTACATTTGTCCCCAAATGTGTACACATTCAAGTCCATAAAAAAATTTTTTGTCATCATATTGGGCACATGAAAATCACCTAATGTTCAAGTTTACCTTATGTTAGTCGTGTAGTTTAATAACAATGTATAGTGGTTACCAGTCCATGTTTTGGAGCCATGGACTAGATTTACATCTTACCACTAATTAGCCTTGGATCTTCAGTAAGTTACTTCAAGTCTTTGTGCCTCACTTTTCTCATGTGTAAGATAATGACAGTATTCAACTCATGTGGTTGCTGGGAGTAGTGTATGAGATAATGCATGTAAGTCTCAATGCCCAAGTATAAAGAGTTCAGCGAATTCAATGAATGTTTACAGTTGTTATCAGTACTGAATCTATTTGGATACAAGAGCAATAGGATTTTGTCAGCAACCAAATGGACTTTTAAAAAAATGTAATGATTGAACTTGAACAGCCTGTGTATTTCT